TTAATTGACCGCAAGTGGCGGAGATTTGTTTTGTAGCACAAGGGGTGCCTTCTGCTAAAAAGAGTTAATAAAAAGGTTATTTTAATCTTCGTAGAACTTTGATTCAGCTTAGAGCAATAACTTGCTTATCAGTCTTATGGTATCTAAAGAACATTGATCTAAGCTTCTGCTGAATTAGAAGCCTATAAATTAAATTTGTGCTCTGCACATTTTTATTATACATTAAGCGTTTAATTTAAACAAGAAAAGCGGCGACTTCTGTCTATCAGGATGGAATAACGGAGAAAAAATGTAGGCTAAATTTAAATACGGAAGCTGTTAGAGTTATGTTATTTTTATTAATAGTTATTTAATTTGTTAAACTTTTTGTCATTTCTTTTTTCTCTGGCGTTTCTTCACCAAGATATAAATGAGCTAGGGAGAACGAGACTATTTAAACTGAAGTAGCGAAAAGGTTCATCAGAGCGTGTTTCGCTATTGAGTGCGCACGTTGTTCCTACCAGTAGTTTGAATACTGAATCTCGGCTTCGCGTTCTTACCGCCGAAGTTTAATATCACGCCGGTGTAGGGTTTTGTGTCAATCTGATAGGTTAAATTAATTTGTGTTGTCTTGAACTATCAGCTTATATTTAAATTTAATTTAGTTTACTATTATCATTAGTTTATCACCACAAGTGGGTTGGTAAGCACAAAGACTGTGCCGTCTGTAAATAAATGAATCCAACAAAAGGGACTTTCATGCCCTTCCCCTGTTATGTTCATCTTGGAAGTCTGTTAGCGATAAGTCGATAACAGACTTTCAAGTAGGTCTAATAGCAATTTATGTTAAAACTAGATTTTACAAGGAATTACAATAAGAATAACTCAATTATAATTTTATATTATTCCCATTGGTTAATCAAGGTTTTAATCTTCAAAATTGATTATTATTTTTGACTGAAAGATATTTTTTGGTACGTATGTACATGCCTCATGGGCGTTATATAAGAATCATTTGACAAGGATTAATTTTAAAACGACGTAATTCAGGAAAAATATTATAAACGTGTTGCTATTTCTAGCTTTGAAAAGTGGTGGTGGTGTACTTAATTATGGCAAAGTACACTAAGGCTATCTTCCTAAGGGGAGGGATGCCTTCGTGGAGGACTTTCTAAGGGAAACTGGCTCATATACACGTTACACATGGGGAAAACCACGAAAACGCTCATGCAGCCAGCCCGTTCACGGCATTCGAACCTCCTAGCTCTGAAAGGAGAAATAGCCAAGTTAAAAAAAAAGTTTGGTTAGGTAGATTATAGCAAAGCGCACAGGGTTATTTGCCTTAGTGAAGAGATGCCTTCATAGAGGAATTTTAAGGGAAATTGGCTAGTATACATGTTACACATGGAGAAAACCTCGAAAACGCCAATGCAGCCAGTCGTTCGCCTGGAATCAAACCCAGTTCGGAACTACCAGCGTTCACCGATTTTACTGCCTGGCCGCTGGTGGGCAAAAATAAAAAAAGGAGACTTAAGGATATATTGCAAGTTATTAGAATTTTATCTTATTTATTCGTCATTATACAAGTACATGTGTATAACGTAAACTAAGAAATTCTGATATGAAATGAAAATTGAAAGGTATAATAAAATGGGCTACAAGAAAAAGGAGTTTAACAAACAGAAAAAAAGACTTAAACAAGTTTTGAAGTTTTATAAAGACAAAAATTACCATTTTCATGGGCTAATAAAGTATAAAAGAAAAATATTTAAGAGAAAATAGAAGGCTTGTAATATGGCTTATCTACACCGTGTCCGTAAACGGTACAATAATTATAAGGCATGACCAATTAAGATTTTAGCGAAGTTACCAGTTTTTAGTGAGGTATTACATGGCAGAGTAAAACTTCTAGATTGGAAGAAGGCATGAAAGAAAAAAAATATTATCCAGACATAAACTGAAGATAAACTTTGCAAACAGATCCTAAGGAAATCCAGTTTAGATTTCTTTCAAAAAAGGAAAAACATTTGAGTCACGTTGTTTTGTTGTTGGTTTATGAGGTCTTTTTGAGGATGATTGTTCTTTCGTCTATCAGTGATACACAACTGATAAAATTTACGAGTATTACTACGCACGGAGGCCGTTATATTAATAAATGCCCTAGCCGAAAAATATTAGACCCAGACTATATTTTATTACGACGTCTCAGTTCATCATCTACTTATAATACGTTACAAATAATGATATTTGAATATATTTAGATTATATATAAAAATTTTATATCAGCTTTTGTGGAAAAGTTATTTTACTCTTCCTTCATTTTCGCACACATTATTCATAGATTATACAGTCCCATCTATAAAATGTTTTAAAGGAAGCAAATATTCATCTTATGGCATTTCTGAATTGTAAAAGTCAATTTTTCAAAAATCTAACTTTTTATATGGCCTTTTGTTTCATATAGTTTTATATAATAATTTGCATTATCCAGATGGTGATATTTATTAGAAGTTTACCCTTATATGAACATCTAAAACGAAAACAAAGTTGCATTTCCGTACGATGGAAATTTAAAAAAATTATTTAATTTCCAAGTATGGAAGACTTTTAGATTTTTCACCACGAGAAACCAATCTTTTGGCTTTCCTTTAAGGGTTCGGTTAAAGATAAATTTAAATAACTCCGAAGTTGGATTTTTCACTTTTAATATCATTCAGTGATATTCCTTTGTGATTTACTCGTGTGTAACATTTTTTAACTCATATTTTGTACGCATTTTTACGCAATTAATTTATTTGATAAAATATGTTAATAATATTCACCTGTAGTTTTGTTACTTTAAAAACGTAATCATACAAAAGTCATATAAAAATGTTATTGTAGGAGAAAATATTTTCATTTTTTAAATTTATGCAAATGATGTTACATGTTGGCTATATGCCAATATTGATGCTAACCATTGTTTTTTAAACGTCGGATTCTGTAAGATTCTGTGAATAAATTCTTCTTTTCCCGAGAAAAATTGCCTTAATCAAAACTATTATACAACAATTTGTTCTACTTAATCTATTAATATCACAGACATTTTTCTAAATTAATATTTACTTTTTAGATACATATAAATTTAAATACTTGGCTCTTCAGCTTATGTGCGAACACAGAATGTTCAGCATAAATGATCTCAAACAGTAAACCTAAATATCTAGATTAATTTTTATTGTACACCAGTCAAAGGGTTTTGGTTTTTCATTTCTTAGAATGAATTTAAGCTCTTAATAAATATAATTACAGAGACCGGGGGGGGGGAACAGTAAAAGAATTCAAATTTTGTAATTCTGATTTTTTAATTTTAAAAGTAATGAAACATGAATATTTGCCTTATTTAAAACAATTTAGTATCTGGGAAAGCTTGTCTAGGACCAGCGGTTGTGAAAATAAGGCCGTATACTCATTTTTATAGACATGTTCCTATCCTGAACACTGCTCTCATGAACGGGGTGTTCAGGAACAATTTATGAAAAAAGAACTAAACATGTATCCTAAATCATTGCGTTTATTTCATTGTTTTCTACGTAGCTGGAAAAAAATACTTAAAAAGATTTGTTTGGCGGGAAGACTGGTCCTAGGCGGACTTGATATCTGCTTTCTGCGGATGTTTGTGAAAGAATGAGTGTATTAAATGCCTGTGGCCAATGCTGTCAAATTGCGTACCCGAATTACAACAGCAATGATACACCAATGATACTTTTGAACGTGTAGAATGAGAGAAGGTATCGCTTAAATATAGCCCCCAGCTACAAAAAGCGCATGGCACTTACAGGTGTACTAAAACGTTTTGAATTATTCAATTTTGCTTATGTAAACCACCCTGCAATAAACACATTAATTTCGGATATATGTGTCATTTGTTCGCATACATGCACCATATGCACGAAAATCTTACTTTATTTTTGCAACCTCTGATCGTAAACATATACTTCCAGTTACAAAAATATTTTAAATGACGAAAAGATTCATGTTTCGGCATTTTTAATTTTAAAGACATAAATTTTGCAAATATTGTGATATATAACTTTTTATATGTTCCTTCCTACTTAGGCAAATTTTGCACTAGTTATAAAACGTAAAGCGCAAAAGCTCAAATAATTGTCATCCTGTAGTTGAATTCAAAGCATAACATTTGCCAGAGTACACCACCATAAAGAAATGCTTATTATTTGAAAAACAGACTTAAAGGAAAGGGTGATTGTTTTCTTATGTATAAGAAACAGCTTAAGTTGATAGCTTTATAATTAAAACCGAATATTCTTGCTGATAAATTATTTTCTAAGAAAAATTAAAAATGCTTTTTATTATAAGGGTACATTGCTTTCTGTGTTTTAATTCGCAGTGCAATGCAGATATATTAGATAAAAACGCTAAGTGTACTAAGTAGATGCAGGGGCAAGAAGAAGATAAAATGAAGTGTTAAATATAAAAGGAAAGTATTTCTGACATACTGCCAGCTATTGTTTAAACCTCATGTTGGACTTTAGCATCAAAACACTTCGCAAAAGACTTACTTAGGCTGCAATCTCAACAAACAGACACAGCGTTTCCGATTTAGGCTGTTTATAATAATATAATTACAAAAAAGAAACAGATAAGCTTTACAGATTTCCAAGAGCATTTTAATTTTAATTATAGTGTATTTGTATATAAGTTCTAATTATAAAGTATTTGTATTACAATTTAAATCGTAATTTATTTTTATAATATTTTTAAATGCATGAATGTGCCAGGTACGGTAATTACTTTCTATTATGTAATTGAAATATATACATATTTAGCATATCAATTACAAATCGAATGTAATATTTATTTCCAGTCGCTCCTGTCTCATTTCCTTTCACACTTAGTTCCCACAAGTATCTCTCCAACCGCAGTTAAAGAAAATTTAATTTAAATATCATGTATAATCTTTGAAACTTTTTAATTATCTTATTTATGCATATAGAATGAGTACTGAAATCTGTACTTACGATGTCTCGTTGTTTTCGAAAATTAGTTCGCCCTCCATATGCTCGTACTCCACACCTGGCTTTGCTGTCCCTTCTACAGTGCGGAAAGGTAGAATAACTCGCCCTCTTGCTCCACTGAATCTGTTGACTTTCAGTGCATATTCACCTACAGATTCACTTACTTCCACTTCAGTTTCAGGGAAGAGGAAAATTCCTGCATGGTCATCGTCCAAAATCATAACTGTAGCCAAAAATGGAGTGGCCAATTCAACTGGCATCCGCGACTCCATTTTATCGATTGTATATCGCGGATTTAAAAGCCTTACGTAGAAATGTTCGTCTTCTTCAAACACATCGTCGTCAATGACAGTTATGAAGAACTGCTTCTGAGTTTCTCCTGGACCAAAGATAAGAGTACCCTCAGCCTCTTCGTAATCCGATCCGGCATTGGCAGTACCATCTTCTGTTCGATAATCAACGGCCACCGCTTCTGAAAGATTACCGTCGCGGCAGACAGTGACAGCAAATTCTCCCACGTTTTCCATGACAGTGTAATGACCGGGGTCAAAGAACAAGCTTACAACTTTAGGCCTTTCTTCTTTCGCTTCATCATCATCTTTTTTTTCGATCTTTTCTAGCTTCCTCTTCATGAGATTCGCTCCTCCCATAAGTTTTCGAGTTGCCTGTATTCGATAATAAGCTCGACTTTTGGGACCTCGGTCTAAAATTTCCTCTCTTGCCATCATTTCAATATCTTCCATAGTAGCATCAGGATGTTTTCGACGCAACTCACGCAATATCTGAATGTACTGCATGCGATGTTCTTCAAATTCTCGGATATCATCACTTTGTTCTTCTTCGTAGTTTTTTACATTTCCATCCGGTAAATGATTTGTCTTTGTCATGCCCATTTCCAAATCCTCTCCACCTTCACCTCCGACTATTACGTTCCTTTTATTCATATGGTACTTTTTTGTCATGTATTTATAAATCAAGAACTGCCGATCCGCTATATATGCTGTTAAAACCGTAGCCGGGAAAAACATAAATGTAACTAGACCTTCCCAAACGTCAATGACACCTGGAGAAAAGAGAGTCAAGATGAGATACAACCAAATGTACGCGAAGACACTCCAAGTCATGGTAACGAAAAACACTCTGAGATGCTTGATTTTTCTGTTTTCTGTAGTTGGTACAGACCAGACACAAATTCCAATAATGACAAACATGTTAAAAGCGGCACTGCCTACGATTGTACCAGGACCGAGCTCTCCAGCTTCGAAATCTTGGGCATATACCTCAATAATTGATAGCAGAATTTCAGGAGCAGAGGATCCTAATGCCATGAGTGTCAGATTAGAAACAGTTTCATTCCATATCCTTACACTAATGTTTTGAGTTTCCCCATTTGGTTTTTTGATAACAACTTCTTTTTCTTTCGATGTAATAACTTCGATTGATGCCATAAATCGATCGGCAACTATAGAGACTCCAACAAATAAGTAGGCTAGAGCGACGAAATAAACTATTCCACGTGCAACAATGTCCCCCCTGCTAAGGTTTTCCTGCGGGCACCACACAGGCAAAATAAGTCCCTCCCGACATTTGATTGGTCCATAGAGATCAGAAATGTTGTATTCTTTTTCACAATTCACCTTCGCTACAATGCAGGTGAAGAAGAAGAAAGTGACCCACAGCCATCGTTTAGGTGTACTGGCTCTTGAACTCATTGTGAAGTGTGTAAAGAGCACACAAGGAAATGTAATAGCATCCAAATGTCCAACTCAGTTCAGATCAGTTCACTGGAATTTTTTATTGCTGGCACTCCATCCTCTTGCGTGCCCACGCCATTGGTCTAGTCGCATCCACAGCTGGCCGTGGTACTCTTGGTCCAGCAACTGTAGCGAAGACCTAAAGAAACAAAATCAAATCGTTAAATATTTCTGTCTGGAAGAGAAACATGTCAGAAGAAAAGATCAATAATCTTGCTAATGTGACGATAAAATAAAGTCGAGATAAGTTACTGGTGATAACTTTTCTTTAAGATAAAACTGGGCAGATCAGATGACTGGTGTATTTACGATATTTCCGGGTAGATATAAGCATTGTTGTGAAAGGGGAACTCTGCGGAATGAAATGTTTTCGATTTTCGCATTAATGTTTTATTAAAAACAAATGGATACATTGCAAATAGTACTCTACTAGGCATGACGTTTTTTACTAAACGCAGCATATCTAGTATTTTATATGCACTAGAGGGATACTATTGCTTAGAACATATCTAGACGTGTTATATATCTTACACAAAGAAAAATGTATCCAGCGAGATCATTTTAGCAATGCGGTATTTCCCTGAAAATACAAATTACTCACTGTAATCCTATATTGTTTATTGTATATAATCTTATTGTATATGTAATATATTAAGATCATATATAATAAATATATAATATATTATTATATACATTCTCAATGGACAAAAAAGAGTTAGGCAAAGTGAATTATAGTTATATATGAAAAATTTAGCAAAATGATTTTATAAGCACATCTTATTTTTTATCTGTTGAAGAATGAATCTTTAGAAAAAGTAGAAATCTTTAAAAAGACTTCCTGCTACGATTTACATATATCATGCCAGTTCTCGTAGCAACAACAGACTTGCAACGTAGTATAGAAAGCATGTTTAAATTATTTTAAAAATGAATCATTTGTAATAAACGTTTATCATCTGTAATAAACGTTTCCAAACGTTATAAATAATCATACACAAATACAAACAGCAATTATATGCAAATACAAATCTAACTAGTCACAATTTTTCAATAAATTTTACATTTCGGAATTTATAATGTGTATTTCTTGGCAAGGAAGGTGGTAAGCTTTTCTCCAGGAATGCACAGACACCGGAAGTTAAAAATATTAAACTACCTTGAAAAAATTCACAAAAAAAAGCATGTTTCATACATATATGTACCGCTTGTAAAACAGTTCGAAAAGGGAAACAGGAAACTAGATTCCGGCAGTGCGCAGCAATGCAATTTCGAAGGCACAGAATATTAATGCAAGAATCGAAACTGTTAATATTTGAGGAATTTTTTGCCTTCTTCATTGCGTATCCTTGTGGTGCAAGTAGAGCTTCCGATTAGCAATCGTAGGATCCGGAATTGGAATCTCGAAGGCATAACTGATTTTTTTGTGTTATCTGCTTTGAAAGGCCTAACGGATTTTGTAAAGGAACCGGTTCATCTTACACATTTCACTAATGGTACACTACAATTAAAATTTGCTATATATTTTAATAAGATTTCCTGCACACATACCGTGGCTTTCGTGGTGTAATTGGAAAGTGCGTCCGGCTAACATCGTGAGGTCTGAAATTCCAGTCCCGGCGAAAGCATAGTGAATTCTGACAAATTTTGAATGTCTATACTGTGGCGCCCGAACTACTAAAAGCTGATGAATCCATCACTGCCAGTAGCGAATGGGTCCCCTCCTCTTCAGACGCACTTTAAGTGGGGAAGAATGTAAGGCCATTTTCTCACGCCTTGAAGCAAGGCCTCGTTGTGTAATTGGAAAGCACGTCCGGCTAACAATCGAAGGACCCAGAGTTTCAATCACGGCGAGATCAAAGAACATTTTCCCCGTCTCCTGCTACGAAATAAAATGCCTTATGGAAGAGAGGTGAGAAATTCTCGGACCTCTACCCTGGTGTCTTTCTTCGAAACTGGGGCAGAATTAGCTAGGTTCAGCAATACCTTAATCACCTATGGTATTAGTGAGCTAATTTTTCTCTTTTACTAGTCATTTTTTAACCTATTAATTCATGACACTGTGAAACATTAGGTGTTTTTGATGCTGGGAGACTTGAAAAATGAGCAGCGCCTTCGCCGGGACTCGAAGCACGGACCTCTCCAATATGCGCCGAGTGTGCTGACCACTACACCACAAACACATGCTGAGAATGCGGGAGAAATACCTTATAACACATTTAAAATGATTTACTTATTTTAAAATTTCATGTTAGGGAAATTTTAGAAAGTAGGAAAAAATTAAACCGCTAAAAGATAGCTATACTTTTAAGGCACAAAACTACGTCTAATGTACCTTTGAAAATTAATATATATGCTTAATTATGCATTCGCGCAAATACATTACGCACGTGCAAAATTTGAATTTCACATCATACAGCGAAGAGATTAGAAATGTATGGAATATGTGATATTCCAAAATTTAAATGCATGATAAATAAAAGGGGTTGAGTCTGGAATTAACTTCTATAAGATCAAATTGCAGGTAACAGAAACTAACTTTTTAATCAAGTTTAAAATCTGATGATAATAAAATCTGTTTTATAAATTTAATCTTACAGTAATTTAAACATAAGTACTGTAATAATTTTCTTTTCATCTATTTCTGTAATAAATGAGAACAGTTTCGGTCGTTTCATACAAGAATGAATCTTACGTTTTAATATAAAGTTCCGTAAAAATATTAATATCATTACTGATATTACATATGGCGAGAAAATTCTAATATTTTTTACTCAACATCGCTTCACTATTCGTTACATTGACAACTGCGTGACATAATTTCATTCAGATTGATTATATTCGACATTTTATCAGTAGATTCTACTATTTTTGCGCTTGAGCAGAAGTTCTTTTACTGTTTACGATTATTATTGGTTTGATGATAAAAAAGAGAAATTAAAAAAAAAAAAAAAAAAAAAAAAAAAAAAAAAAACATTCACAGGACAATAAAAATAGAACTTCCCATTCCGTGCGCAGTAGCTCCGATGTGGCTGTCGACGATTATTTAAACATACTTACAGGATCGCTTGTGTTAACGTCTGCTAAGTCGCCTACCTGGCAACAAAGCAAGCTATGTATTTTCTTCAAGCCCTGATTAGTTCATTCAACTATAGTGATTAGTTCATTGAAACATAGTGAGAGCTGGCTACCGTGCATTTGGAAATCTTTCTGCATACATTTAAACAATTGCTCTACCATTACATTCTCTGTATATAAGGCATGTATACGAAAGTTCTGCATTAATGTCCTATGAGTTTAGTAAAGAATTTGCTGAAGAACGATATCTTCGTTGTGAGTATTAATGACTGTAATAAATACTTTGCAGTGACATGCAAGCTGGCTTTGAGAAAATGCTTTAATTTTTCTTGACAATCATTTCAAATCACTTTCGTGGGAAAAAAACATATTTGTAATCTCGTGGAGCAATACCGTATGTTTTACAACATTTTTTTGTGCGAAGTGAATATGGAATTCTAAAACTGTCGACTTTCATATCCCTCACAGAAAAGTTGAATTTCGAAATACAGCAAGCGATTTTCTTTCCACGCTGATGCCAAACACTGTAACATCAATTACATTACATCCTGTATAGTAGATATGCGCAAAGTCACATCAGTCAGGTGGATTAAGTTATTGAACACTGGTAGTTAGATTTGGGTACGATTTCTAGGAGTAGGCTAGCTGCAGTATGCACAATATAATACTCACAGATTCTCATTAGTAATCCTCCACGAAGACATCCCAGACCTTAAACAAATAGCTCTTGTATGCTTTGGCATAATCAGTTAACCAACACATATCTAAAGCATAAATATACCAACGACTTAACGCTCAGTTCACTCTCGGATTGGTTTCACGCAAATGGGTGGGATTCACGGGTGGTTCTTCGGTTTCCCTTTATGTAACACGAATGCAAACCATTTTTACGAAAGCATTTTTTTCTATGTGGGTCCACTAGTGGTCGAGAAGTAAAAGCCACAGAACACTGGTAGTTCGGTCTCCGGTTTGAATCCCAGGCGTTTTCGTGGCTTTACTCTTGTGTAACGTGGATACGAACTAGTTTCCCATAAAAGGTCCTCCTCAGGGCATCCCTCCCTTTCCGTGTAAAGCCTAATGGTGGAACAAGTAACAAATAAATAAAATCTTTAAGGCAGAATCGATAAACAACTTTCCGTAAAGTTAGTTTTCTTTAATTATAGAAATAGTTTGATTTCTAAACTTAGTAAAATTAGGATCACAGTTTCTCCAAGATACTTGCTCGTATATACAGGTTGAATTGGTTCATTAATAGTTTTGATAACTTGGGTTAAATAAACTGCTCGACTTTGTGCTGTAGAGTTCCTCACTTTGTAAATGCTAAGAAGTTACAGCTGAACGTGAAGAATCTTAAGAACTGATAAGCGAATAATCGCTTGAGTTCGTGGAACAAGAAACAACAAGATGGAAGGGTAAATAACCCTTTATTATTCAAATAAGATTTAACAGAACTCCGTCTTGGACTGTACAATAAAAGCCGACACTTGGGCTTGAACTTAAGAGGCTAAGAAGTAAACTAAAACTAATCTAAACTAAAAGCGATATAGCCGAAGCTATCAAGATTCTAACCGAGTTGGCCCCTTAACGCTAATTGACTGCGAAGCTATCAAGAGCCTAAGTACGGCCGAGCGTAATAATAGCTTACGAGAGAGTAGCCTAAAAAGGCGGACGCGTGCAGACAGAATACCTGGTAACTCTCTCGCTAAGACCGAAGAACTTCGCGGTTTAAATACCGCTTCTCCTCATTATGTATTCAGCCGTGATTCTAAATCTACGTTCTGGCTGGAAGTAGTAAGTTGAAGTTAAGAATCGACGGGAAAGGAACTCTAACTTAAAATTTAACTGTTAATAAAATTAACATAATACAGTGCCTTCGAATTAGGATTGTTGGGTTTCATTTTTGAACTATTGCGCAAGGCTATTAAGAAAACGAATCTGATATATATAAACAAGGAAATCTGTGACGCCTTTTTGAAATAGCATTTATCTTACTTTACTTGTGGAATTTATGTCTTGAACTGTTAAATATTTTTAGTAGTGTACCGTCGCCTTTCAATTTCATGCTCCCAAAGTCCAAAGTACTGCGTGTAGGATA